TCAGAGAGGAGGTGACACCTGCAGGGTGGAGGTGACACCAACCCCAGCCCTGGGAGGAGCAGGGGAAGGGAGGAGGTGACACCTGCAGGGTGAAGGGGACATCCTCAGGGTGGAGGGGACACCTTCAGAGAAGAGGTGACACCTGCAGGGAGGAGGTGACACCCTCAAGGTGGAGGTGACACCAACCGCAGCCCTGGGGATGTGCAGCTGCAGCATCCCCTGCTCCTCAAACAGCCCCGGGGCAAACCCCGGGAACTGCCGGGCATTTATTCACTTTGTGAATTGCTGTTTGTTTATTTATTTATTTGTTCACTTTGTGAATTGCTGTTTGTTTATTGATTTATTTATTCAGTTTGTGAATTGCTGTTTGTTTATTTATTCGCGTTGTAAATTGCTGTTTATTCACTTTACAAATTGCTGCTGGCTGGGAGCGGAGCCCATGGGGTCAGGCAGGTGAGGCTGGGCGGTTCCTGGGTGAAAGATTCCCGGGAGTCTGTTGGGAGCTGCTCCTGCTGGGAGCCTCTCCAGGATCCCGGTTTTTTTTGGTTTTTTTTGTTTTGGTTTGGTTTGGTTTGGTTTGGTTTGGTTTGGTTTTTCTGTTTGTTTGTTTCTTCTTTCTTCTTCTTTCTTCTTTCTTCTTCTTTCTTCTTCTTTCTTCTTTTGTTTTTATTTTTGTTGCTTTTTATCCAAGCAGCAGACTGCCAACATTTCAGATTCCCTGAAGCTCAGCTGTTGATTTTGGAGAGGAGGCAGATCCCACCTCACCAGATAGCCTCGCCCAGCAGGAATTATTTCAAAGACCCCAAATCCACGCTCTCATCCCCCTCTCCAAAAGACTTTCCCGACTGCCTCAGGAGCAATCAGCTCCAGCTATTGCCTGGGGCTCATCCCAAACGCGTTCTGGGCTCCCAGAGCTGCTGCTCTGCCCGTGGAGATGAGGCAGATGTTGATCCACAACATCTGGATTGTGCAGTGCTGGGAGGAGCCCCCACAGCTGGGGCACAGCCCCTTTGAACCAGGCAGCATCAGCGGGATTTGGGGCTGAAAAAACTCATTTCAGGAAATGCTGGGAGGGCTTAGAAATGTCCAGAGGATGGGGGGGTTGGGACCTGCCAGGGCAGGGGCTGCAAACCCTGCAGGGCTGAGGTCAAACCACCTCCAACAAATAACTGAGAGGAGACTCTTATCTTATTATTAATTATATTTTCATTAAAAGCAGTAACCCATGGAGCTGGCAGCAGAAAGGAGGAGCAGGTGAGGCGATCTCCCTCAGCTCCTGTGCCCTGGAGCAGGTGGAGATGCTGTGTTTGGGAACAGGCCATAATCCTGATTTCCTGCCTGGGAAGGGCACGTGGAACACCGAGCAGTGCTCCCACCCAGACCACAGCTGGGACCTCCTGCTTCTCCCAGGCGCAGGAAATGCCAGAATCTGCTGCTGCCTGCCACGGAGCCTCGGCTGCTGCTGCTGCTGGGTTTGGGATGTGCTGGGACAGCAACTGCCACCAGCCAGGCTCCAGAGCTGCTGCCAGGGAGTCACGGGGTGGTTTGGGTTGGAAGGGACCTTAAAGTTCATCTGACTCCATCTCCTCCCACGGCAGGGACACCTTCCACTGTCCCAGGTGCTCCCAGCCTGGCCTTGGGCACTGCCAGGGATCCAGGGCCAGCCACAGCTGCTCTGGGCACCCTGTGCCAGGGCCAGCCCACCCTCACAGGGAACAATTCCATCCCAATATCCCATCTAAATCTCCTTTCTGGCAGTGGCAAGCCATTCCCAGTATCCGGTCACTGCAGGTCCTTGTAAATTCTCTCTCCACCCTTCCTGGAAGGTCACAGCTGTGTCACCCCAAAGCTTCTCCTGCCCAGGTGAACAATCCCAGCTCTCCCAGCAGAGCTGCCCCATCCCTCTGCTCATCCTGGAGCTCTCCTTTGAGAGTTCCTTTCCCATCCCTCCCATGTCCATGGTTGGCTTCTCCTCCCCCTCCTCCCCAAATCCCACAGGAGACACCCCCAGTGCTGATCCTGGGCCAGAGCAGAGCTACAGGTCATGCCCAACATCAAAGCTGAGCTTTAGGGTTAATCCTGGCTTTACCACCCCTCTCCCTCCCCACAGCATTGCAGCCCAGTGGGTGGAAGAACAGCAGGACCTGATCCTTGTTCAGGTTGGTCCCACCCTGGAGAAAGCAATAAAACTTCCCCTGAGGAGAGCAGGGAGCTCTCAGGCATCTCCTGCACCAAGCTGAGAGCAATAATTAGCAGGATTTATTTCATCTGAAATGCCCACTGCTCCCAGTCAGGCTGCACAGGCAATTAACACCCCGGAACAGACACGAGATGCTGCTCAGAATTCATGGACAGTATTAATGAGATGATTTATGAGGGAGCCACATGTGATTTCTTGCCCAGAGAAAATGTGAAGGTGCTCATTGCTGTCTGCCTGTCCTCTCTTCCTGTCTTCTTCTCCCACTCTCCTGTCCTCTCTTCCTGTCTTCTTCTCCCACCTTCTTTCCCACCCCACCACTAGAGGAAAAAAAAATACTTTCCCAACAAACCAGAATCACTCAAAACCCCCCACATTTTTCTTTTGAAGGTGTCACTTTTAACAATTCTTTTCAGTCCTCTTTAATCTCCTCCAGGGCAGCGCAGAGGAAGAACCAAACCAGCTCCAGAATTTCAAACTCCCCCCAGTGTGAACACACAGGACAAAAACTGCCCGTGCTAAAATCAAATCTGCACCTTGGACTGATTCTGCCACCCTCACATCTCTGCCAGTGGGGGAAACCTGTGGGAAGAGGGATCATTTGGGCTGGAACACCTTGAAAATATCTCCAAATATATCGAAGAACTGCAGCGTGAGGTGGGGAAGCACCAAACCAATGGGTGAGGGGTTGCAAAAAGCCTCATGTGAAGGACTTTTGGCAAGAAACAAAAAAAATGCTTCTCAGTGTGGAGCATGGCTGGGTTTGGATGTGCAGCGCTCAGGAATGAGCTCCAGTGAGGCAGAAATGCCCTCTTACCCCGTGCCCCTGGCGTCTGGCACAGCTGGAAGGGTTCCTGCAGTGCTGGCTGGGGTTTCCCTGCGTGGATTTTGTGCTGCCTGTGCCAGGACCTGGTTATGGTGTTTGGACAGCCTGGCCTGGGGGCTTCACAGGGGGCAGGAAGGGGACACTGGGGACAGGAATGACATCGACCCAGTCAGGGCTGGAGCTTTGTCTGTCTCAAACAGGGGAGGAGAATGCAAGGGGGAAGGAGGATCCTCAGGCAGAGCTGGAAGGGATCTTGGTGGCTCTGCCACCTCCCCTGGGGAGCAGCCAGGCCATTGTCACCTCCCAGAGCAGCAGGGAGGGAGGACACCGAGCTGTGTCTGAAAGCTTTCTGGGGAATTGCCAAGCCCTGAATTAACCAAGCTGCTGGCTAATTAATATTACAGAGTGCTGCTGTTGTTGGAACATCTGAAGTGCAGGATTTGTAGTGTCACTGATCCCTGGTTTTAAATCCCAGGTGATGCAGAGTCCTGTGTGTCCCTTCCCTAAACATCACACAGAACATTTGAGAGCTTTAATGCCAACCTCGATTTTAGGAGCATTTACTGCTCAGGCGATTCTTTCAATCAACGTCTGGGAGCTGGAAATACTCTGCCAGGTTTTGGGGGGTTTTTAAACAGCAAGGGCGGGGAAAGATGACAATCAGTTTTAGGGAATGATGTGGCAGGGAACTCGTGTGGCATCGCTAACATGAGATTTCTGAACGAGCGAGCCTGTGCTGAGTTCTGCTGGAATTATCCCTCAGGATGGAGTGTGCGAATCCCCCCCGCTCCTGTGCTGCGCTGGGGGCGGATTTGGGGCAAAACCCGGGCGGTGCGGGTCCGTGCGGGCCAGCCCATGGCTCTGGGGGCGGATTTGGGGCAAAACCCGGGCGGTGCGGGTCCGTGCGGGCCAGCCCATGGCTCTGGGGGCGGATTTGGGGCAAAACCCGGGCGGTGCGGGTCCGTGCGGGCCAGCCCATGGCTCTGGGGGCGGATTTGGGGCAAAACCCGGGCGGTGCGGGTCCGTGCGGGCCAGCCCGTGGCTCCGCGCTGCACCGCCCGGGGGGTCCCCTAGATGTCCCCACTCCAACGGGATTGCCAGCCGCCCTTCCAGAGGCTTGGAGCTCCGCCGAGGCGAGGATGCGAGCTCCCCCCGGACCCATCCCATCTCCGCAGCGCACCCGGGACGGGCTCCCCGGAGTTCCCGGAGGCTGGAACTGCTGGCTCCGTCTGTTTTGCCGGGAGCAGGAGCGGGGGGAGCGGGATTCGGGTTTTCCGTGCGGGGTCGGACGCAGCCCCAGGGATGCCGCGGGCCGAGCGGGGACATCGCTCCTTCCCTGCCCGCCTGGCCCGGGTTTGCTTCCCTTGGCTCGGGATTGCGATCCCCTCGCGGCGGGGCCGAACCGAGCCGGGCTGGGCCGTGGTGCGATGCACCGGGACGGGCAGAACGGGGCCGAGCCGTGCCCAGGCTGAACCGTGCCACGACGACTGGGCAGAGCGTACCCGGGCTGAGCCGTGCCGGTCAGGGCGGACCTTGACGCGGCTGGGCACTGCCGGGCCGTATCCAGAATGAACCGTGCCGGGCCAGGGCAGAGCCGTACCCGGGCTGAACCGTGCCCGGGATGAGCCGTGACAGTCTGGGCGGGCCGTGCCCTGTCTGTGCCGTGCCATACCCGGACTGTGCCCTGTCTGTGCCATACCCAGACAGAGCCGGGCCGTGCAGGGCGGTGCCATACCCAGACCGTGCCCTGTCTGTGCCGTGCCGTGCCCGGACCGTGCCCTGTCTGTGCCCTACCCAGACCGAGCCGGGCCGTGCCCTGTCTGTGCCGTGCCCGGACCGAGCCCTGTCTGTGCCGTGCCCTACCCGGACCGAGCCGGGCCGTGCGGGGCGGTGCCGGCCGGGCGGGCGGAGGGCTCGGGCGGCCAATGGCTCTGTCCCGGGCAGCCCAGCCCAGCCCAGCAGGTGGAGCGGCTCCGGCTCCACGTGCGCGGCCGGAGGCGGCCCCGGTGCCGGTCCCGCCTCGCCGCTCCCCGGGCTCCGTCCTCCCGGGGCCGCAGCGGGCGGCGGCTCCGCAGCTCCCGGGGCCGCGCTCCGCGATGGCTTTCGCCAATTTCCGCCGCATCCTGCGCCTCTCCGCCTTCGAGAAGCGCCGCTCCAAGGAATACGAGCACGTCCGCCGCGACCTGGACCCCGGCGAGGTGTGGGAGGTGGTGGGCGAGCTGGGAGATGGAGCCTTCGGCAAAGTCTACAAGGTGGGTGCTCGGGGGCCCGGGAGCAGCGGCGGTGCCGGGCCGGTCTCGGAGCTGCCCCGGCGCAGCGGGGCCGGCTCCGCATCCCGTTAGCCGGGAGGAGCCGGGCGGGCACGGGGAGCGGGGCAGCGCTCCGGGAAGGGGAGAGGAAGGGGAAAGCTTCCTGCTTTTTTTCTTTCTTCCCTTTTTTTTTGTTTTGTTTTTTGGTTTTTTGGGGTTTTTTTTTGTTTTGGTTTGGTGGTTGGGTTTTTTTTATCATTATTTTTATTATTTTTTTTCTTTTTGTCGCCGCGAATCGCCCGTTTCCAGAGCGATGCTTTTGCCAGCAGAGCCGGGCGCTCCCTGCCAAGCCCGGGTGCAATGAATGGAGGGAGGTTTCTTGGAAGTCGGCGCTTCCAGGGCTGTCTCCGAGTTCTCTCAGTCTCCGGGGGTGACAGGGGATTTGTGTCCCCGCCGCTGCTGCCGGCAGAAAACTTGGGAGGGCCGAGAGGAGCCGGGTCCGGCGCTGTGAATGTTTAACCCCGGCCTTTAGGGACGGGGGTTTCAAGGAGCAAAGATTCCCCGGACTTTGCCCTGCGGAGCCGCGGCGTTGCCGCTGTCCCTGCTCGGAACTGTCCCGTGTCCTGGCAGGGCTGAGCCCGGAGCTCCCGGGCACACCTGTGTGACAGGAGCCGCTTGGAATGGGGGTGGCAACTGGCAGCTGGGGCCCGATGGCCTCGTTACATCACCCGAGGAGTATTGCCTTCGGAAAAATGGGAAATAAATAGGGCAGGAAGGGAGGCAGGTGGCTGCGGGTCAGGACAGGGGGATTTGGGGTTTATTTCTCTGTCACTGTGTTTGACAGAAACTCTAAAAAACTGAGTGCTAAATACCCATTGAGTGAAACGAGGAGTATTGCCTTCGGAAAAATGGGAAATAAATAGGGCAGGAAGGGAGGCAGGTGACTGCGGGTCAGGACAGGGGGATTTCGGGTTTATTTCTCATCTCGGTCACTGTGTTTGACAGAAACTCTAAAAAACTGAGTGCTAAATACCCATTGAGTGAAACTTTTTAGTGAAGGATCCTAATTAAACACAATTCCTAAAAAAAAAATTATATTTAAATCCCTTCTCCTTATCCTTCTGAAAGCAGCATCAGTAGAATTCTGTTGTCATTCTGCTCTGGGAGGTGCATTGGAGACACATTTGTGTGTAGCAACACTCACTCCTGGATGATTCCTTGCTTTTATTTGCTCAAGTTTCTCAAACAGTGACAGGAGCCAGGTAAACAGTGTAAAATAGCTTCAGCAGCCTCTGAGAGAAAGGAAAACTTAAATAATTATTTAATTGCTTTCTATTTTAAACATGTATAATGTACCCAAAGTAGGTGACTTAGAGAATAAAGCTACTTTAGAGGTGGCTGGTTTGGTTATTGTAGCTGAGTGCCTCAGTTATTAACCCCAGCCTCACAAGAAAACCATTGTCAGAGTAACTTTATGACTGTAGGTAAAGAATGTCAGCCTGTCAGGCAATAACAGCTCATCTCCAGCTCCTTTCATCCCTGTTTTGACCCAAGTGAGAATGAAAACGTCCCAGTGGACACTGTGTGTTTACAACCAGAAGTTCATTCCTGGAACTTGAATATTCAGGCAAATTTTTGCTTTTGTGGAGTTTTAACCCTGTTAGGCAGGGTGAGGTTTAACATCGTGCCAGAAATCAAAGGGTTACTTTATTGTGTTTAGCAACATTTCACTTCTCCATTGCTTTGATCTCTTCTCCACCTGTTCTCCATTCCATCTGGCAAAAGGTCATGGCTGGATTTTGAATTCTCATCCAAAACTTTGTTTGTTCGTTTAAGAATCCTGAATTATTTGAGGGTGCTGTGCTGTAAATCCTTATTTTAGGACAATAAATCCTTCTTTTATAAGGATTAATAATCCTTATTAATCCTTATTTTAGGATTAATAACCAGAGACACATTTTCCCTTCACCTAAAGTTTTTTTGTTGTCTCCTTTTGCTTTTTTATATCTATGGGTGCGGATGAGTGTAAGGTGGGATGTGGAAGGAGGGGTTTGCCCTCTTGTGCTGCTCAGCTGTCAAAAAATCAGCTGGATAATCCACCAAAAATTGCAGAATAACCCACCAAAATTTGCAGAATAACCCAGCAGCTGAATAACCCACCTGTGCTCCGGGAGAACAGAGGCGCCCAAAACCCAGTGAACAACTTGAATCATTCTCTTGACCCCAAAGTCAGTTTGATTTTCTGCCTAAAGGCACTGCTTGGAGCGAGGCTGAGTGTCTGCAGGCTTTTCAGGATGTTGGAGTGCAGTTCCTGCCCGTTTTCCACGCCCGGAAGCGTGGGGAGGTGACGGAATCCTGTGCCTGCATCCTGCCCCGTGTGCCATCTGCTGTGTCCCCTTGGAAAGCTCTGAGCGGGGCTTTGTTCTCTGGGCAGTCAGACCTGGCAGAAAGTGAGGTGTGGAGAGATGGAAAAACGGGCTGGGTTTAGCAGGATTTGGTTTTGTGAGGCTGGGTGTGAAGGAGGGTTCAGGGATTTGGGGTATTCCTGCCCCATGGGATCCTGTCTGCAGCTGTGTCCTGGGCTCAGCAAAGCTGAACTGGCTTCTCACAGTGTTCCCAAAAGTAGGACAGGCTTCATTTAAATACATATTAATTAAAAAATAATTAAATTTCTAGTGGAGTCTGGATCCTACACGGCAAACCTAAAAAAACCTGCAGCCAGCAGAAACTGGGACTGGGATTTCCCTGGTTTTATAGAAAGTCTTTTTGCAGTAAAAGAGGATCTGCCTGCATGAGGAACCAGTCGAACAGAGGGTAATGAGGCTGAAAAGCAGGAGGGGGTGGGGAGGAAATGTTTCTTTCTAGCTCTGATTCCGTGAATGCCGTGGTCTTGGCAAGGCCAGAGGTCCACTGAGGACGTGGTGGCACCCACAGGTGACCAGGCTTTGTCACCAGCCCATCCAAAGCTCGTTAAGTGGATGATCCCAAACCCTGCAGTCGGGAGCTGTGGTCAGTGGGTGCCTGCCTGGGAAGGCTCCAGCCCACCCAGGATTGGGAGCCTGTAAAAGTTCCTCACTCAGACCCTTCCCAAGCTGCCTTAGAAGAAAAGCAGAGTTACTTTCCTGTAAAGACGTTTAAGATACCACTTATAAACCCAAAGGATCTGTGCTGCCACTTCAGAAAAGAAAAGAAAAAAGCAGAGTTATTTTCTTGGAAAAAACACCTAAGATATTCCTCATAAACCCAGAGGATCTGTGCCACCATGTCAGAAAAGAAAAAACCAGTTTTTCTCCTGGAAAAACACCTAAGATACTGTCCATAAACCCAGAGGATCTGTGTTGCCACTTCAGAAAAGAAAAGAGAAAAGCAGAGTTATTATTCTAGAAAAACACCTAAGATACCACCCAGAAACCCAGAGGATCTGTGCTACCATGTCAGAAAAGAAAAAGGCAGAGTTTTTCTCCAGGAAAGACACTTAAGATACCACCCTTAAACCCAGAGGATCTGTGCTGCCACCTCAGAGCTGGCATTGTTTGGAGGGACAGTGGCACTGGGCTCTCAGGAAGATGCTCAGGGTGAAACCAGCCCCTGCATCCCCTCTGAGCCCTGCCAACCGAGCACTCCCTGCTTCACCCTCGCAGGGAGAACCCCGGGGAGGGATGCCCAGTGGGCATGGAGAGCCCTGGCTGGCAGGGGCACGGCCAGAGCCCCTCCTGCCTCTCTCCTGGGATTGTTTTGCTGCTCTGTGCCTCTTGTGCGGCGCTATCTGCCCTGCCCAGCGCCGCTGATGGGGACAGTGGCCGCGATAAGGCAGGGTGGGGACAGGCTGCCCGAGGGGGTTCTTCACTTCATCCCTCCAAATCGCCCTCGCACAGCGAGCCAGCAGCGCCTCTGCTGTGCCTGGTCCTCCTTTCCCCTCCCAGGGACGCTCAAAAAGGCGAATTTGGGTGCTGTGCTGCCCTGGGGGCTGTGCAGGCTTTGCCGGGGTGTGAAAGGCTGGTTGTTGGGTTGTGCAGCTGCCTGCAGCAGGGCTCTTGGTGGGCACCAGGGTGGCCCTGGCATCGCAGAGGGCTCTGCTCATCAGCCCAGCCTGCAGCACTCCTGGGTGGCTCAGGTGATCCAGGCTCAGCTCTGGGTTTTGGGTAGGAATTGTTCCCTGGGAGGGTGGGCAGCCCTGGCACAGGGTGCCCAGGAAAGCTGGGGCTGCCCCTGGATCCCTGGCAGTGCCCAAGGGACACTTGGACAGGGCTTGGAGCCACCTGGGACAGTGGAAGGTGTCCCTGCTCATGGCAATGAAATGAGCTTTAAGGTCCCTTCCAGCCCAAATCGTTCTGTGATTCTACACTTTAATTCCTGGAAAGGGTGTCACACAGAGATGTTAATCTGCTGAGTTAACTTTGAAAAAGAAAAAGGAAGGAAAACAGAAACAGGGGAAGTTTGAGCTGATTGGCTACAAGAAATGTAAGATCAGATCATAGTCTTGTCCTTTAGAGCTGCTAAAGGGTTTCCTTAAAATCTTTTCTCTTGGGAAAGAGGAATGGGAAGGTTTAACAATGTTAACCCTGGCTGAACTTTAAACTTGCTTTTCACTTTCAGCTGATGGAAAGGCGGGATGCTCTGTCCCTGCTGCAGCCCTGTGCTCTGCGGCTGTCTCTGTGTGACAGGGGACAGGGACAGCTCTCCATGGCCTAAATATTTGGGCAATGACTTCAGTGGCACAGCCCAGATCCTGGCAGTGCTGCTGCCAGTGGGAGCTGTGGGCAGCTGCCTGCAGGAGAGCTCAGATGAGCCTTTCACCCTCAGCACGTGGCTCAGAAAAACTCCTCCCTGCACATCTCATGACTTTGTAAATGTTTTGTCTCCTGAGAATCCAGTTTCCTTGGAGAAAAAGGTTCTTTTTCTTGCCCATGGGGTGCTGCCGTAAATGTGGGGTTCTCCTGGCGAGTCTCAGGTGGCTGGGTGTCCCCAGGGGCCCTGGGGGTGGCTGTGCTGTGTCCCCAGAT